TCAAGTGTTTGCAATTTTCTCAGTTCCTCCAAACACCTTCTGAGCAGGCCACAGTCACTTCCTTCCTTATGTGCCTTCCAGATGAATATAATAAATCATATTCCCATTCAATGCTATATAATTTACACAGATGATAAAGTATAATTAAATAAGTAGGATTTGAGGTTTTCACGGCAGTCAGTCTGGGTTGTAGCACTGTGTAGTCTAGCAGACGTTTATCAATGTTTCAGAGTTCCTCGCTGCCTCCATCATTGCTCATCGCCCTGATGATGGAGGCAACAAAGACCACTGAAACGTTTATACAAGTCTATCAGACTACATGGCGGCACTACAATCCAGAAGACAGCCATCTTTATAATGAAACCAAACGAAACACAGTGTAATTGATATCATATTTAAATCACCCCAATGATATGATGTAATAATACAATAAGCTGCTGCGTTTTCCTGAAATACAATGGAGCTGGCTGAACTGCAATAAAGTGAAGGGAAAATGGGTTAGATTTTTATTGTGCCAGTTTGGTGGAGACCTGAGCCCTCAGCCCTTAATAACAGGAAAACATGTTCCAATTTTCTAGGCAAGAAGAGGAGGAAAGCGTTCCTGGATCTTCTGCTGGAGGTGTCACTCGATGGCGTCAAGTTGACAGATGAAGAGTTAAGAGAGGAAGTGGACACATTCATGTTTGAGGTTTCTGTTACTTGATGGTTGAGTCTAATGAAATAGCAAATATACTGAATTTAATGTTTCCAGAATGACAAGGCCAATTTAAAACTCAGTTCGCATTCCCAAAAGGATGATCACAGGGGTCTCTTATCAAGAAACCATAAATAAACTGAAAGATATAAGTCAGTGTTGTTCTTCTGGATTATGACACTGTACACGCTCATAGGCTGACACCACAATGATATTAACCCAGAAGACCACACAGTGTTCGAATACGGAACAGGATCGACACCCTCACCATTATGAGAAACCCAAATCTTATAAAGAGAAAATATAATTATAAAGAAAATGACCATCAGCTGTTTTTCGTTTCTGCACTAGATTACGAATTGCGTCTGCTCTTACAGATTTTTAAAATATCCTCATCAGTAACGTGGTCCGTGTGTTTCTCCACAGGGCCATGATACGACAAGTGCTGGGATTTGCTGGGCAGTTTACTTGCTGGGACTCCACCCTGATGTGCAGGTAAGCCTGTCATTAATAGCACAAACTGAACAAAGATTTTATATCACAAACGTTATCATACAGAATTCTTTCAGGAGAAGGCGTACCAGGAGCAGGAGAGCATATTCCAAGGATCTGACCGCTCTCCAACGATGAAGGACCTCAACGAGATGAAATACCTTGAAAGGGTCATCAAGGAGTCCCTGAGATTGTATCCCAGTGTTCCAGTAGTTAGCAGACGTCTTAATGAAGATATCGAAATAGGTACAGTCTCTTTTTGCTTATCTGAAAGTTAGGGATATACCATTTGTTTACATAATTTTTTTTTCGTATCCAGTACACTCCATTCAGCATGGTGTGCATTGGTGATTAGCTGGATTCCCGACCCATTAGTACATGAGTTCGACCGGGACCGCGACATTTAACGCTCCTGCTGTGACCCCCTTTTTGCGAAATGATGATGAAAGTGGAGTAATTGTTGTGATGCCACGGAGAAACCTGGGAAACCCCGGAGGAAAACTCCGTGATGCCTGGAACACGGCCTTGCCCAAGTTGTAAATCTGAGAACCGCCGGGAATCGAACCCGGGACCTTAGTATTACAAGCCCAGCGTTCTAACCGCTAGACCACCGTGGCGGTTGTTTACATAATGAATAAGTACCTAATTACAATAACACTACCAGCTAATAACTGGCTAAGAAACTAAATAAAGAAACAGAAATCTATTGAACTAGTGAGGAGTACTATGTATTTCTATCAATACCATACTCCAAACATAAATAAAAGTAAACCAATTTATATTGAAATCAAGCATTCAACATAATTTTCCAGGTGATTACACCATCCCAGCAGGTTGTATGTTGACCATTCAAATTTACAACCTGCATCGGAACCCCGATCAGTTCCCCGACCCAGAGAAGTTCGACCCGGACAACTTTCTGCCGGAGAGGGCAGCAAAAAGACACCCTTACGCCTACACCCCCTTCAGTGCCGGTCCCAGAAACTGCATAGGGCAGAAGTTCGCCCTGCTGGAGGAGAAAACGGTGCTGTCCTACATCCTCCGTCACTACGAACTGCGTTCCCTTGACAAGAGAGAGAATATCACATTAATATCAGAGCTAATTCTCAGACCACAAGGTGGAATCCGTCTCATCATCACACCTAGAAATGCAGGAAGCAGTAAGATGTAAAAAATAGGAAGGTAGTGTTTCCTTCATGACCTGAAAACAG